GATCCATATGTATGTATGAATGTGTGTTAAATGTTCGTGTATATTTTGTTCTTTATTTCAGAAATAGCAAATCAAAATGCCTATCACACTGCAATCATCGGACGACGAAAAATTTGAGACCGATGTGCAAATAGCAAAATGCTCGGGCACAATCAAAACCATGTTGGAGGATTGTGGTATGGACGACAGCGAAAATGCTACTGTTCCATTACCCAATGTAAATTCTGCCATACTACGTAAAGTACTTACCTGGGCAACTTATCACAAAGATGATCCACAACCAACCGAAGATGATGAAAACAAAGAAAAGCGTACTGATGATATCTCTTCTTGGGATGCAGATTTTCTAAAAGTTGATCAGGGCACACTATTCGAATTGATCTTAGCCGCTAATTACTTGGATATAAAAGGATTATTAGATGTTACTTGCAAGACTGTGGCCAATATGATCAAAGGGAAGACACCAGAAGAGATACGTAAAACTTTCAATATAAAAAACGATTTTACACCAGCCGAAGAAGAACAGGTGCGTAAGGAGAACGAATGGTGTGAGGAGAAATAAAATGTTAATTGTTGACTCAAAATTAATAAGCATTCGCTGCTCACACTTGCGCTTTTAATGGATTTACATATGTAAAATATAAACGAAATAACTAAAAAGCAGTATGTAATTTTAATCAAAATTATATGGCTAAAATTACATAGCAGAGGTTTTACCAAATCTCACCAGGTTTAAAGCACTTTATCATAATAAATGTAATTGACTCTCCCCAGGCGCTCGTTTGTATTTTGTACAGCAATTGTTTTCTTGGGCACTTCGATTTTTATATCTTTGCTGATATTGTTAGTGTACATTATAAATCACTCCCTTGGAGAAGAAATTACATCATATGAGGGTACTTACATAAATTTTGCCGAAACTGGAATAATTTGAAGAGTATGTGATTTCCGTTCGAAAACATTTACACTCGCTTGGAAGTTTTAAAGGTTGGGCCCTTTTTCCCTAGATAGATGAATCATGCGGTGTGTTCAGAAATGCATCAAGCCAAAGCATCATACGCATTTATTTCTCAACTATAATTGGTGGAAATGTCCAATATGCGCAACCACGGTTAAATGCCTAAATGGAACTTAGTTGCGTAAATAAGGCATTTCCA